TCAATCGTCCCGCAGTCTCGTCATAAAAGCCAGCAGTAAGTGTGGCCGCTGCACGATGCTAGCAATTCTGTAACTACCCAACCTTTTCTCTACAGAAATGCCCCAGGCAGTACAAAGTCCACTCAATCGTCCCGCAGTCTCGTCATAAAAGCCAGCAGTAAGTGTGGCCGCTGCACGATGCTAGCAGTTCTGTAACTACGCAACCTTTTCTCTACAGAAATGCCCCAGGCAGTACAAAGTCCACTCATTCGTCCCGCAGTCTCGTCATAAAAGCCAGCAGTAAGTGTGGCCGCTGCACGATGCTAGCAGTTCTGTAACTACGCAACCTTTTCTCTACAGAAATGCCCCAGGCAGTACAAAGTCCACTCATTCGTCCCGCAGTCTCGTCATAAAAGCCAGCAGTAAGTGTGGCCGCTGCACGATGCTAGCAGTTCTGTAACTACGCAATCTTTTCTCTACAGAAATGCCCCAGGCAGTACAAAGTCCACTCATTCGTCCCGCAGTCTCGTCATAAAAGCCAGCAGTAAGTGTGGCCGCTGCCACAATGCTAGCAGTTCTGTAACTACGCAACCTTTTCTCTACAGAAATGCCCCAGGCAGTACAAAGTCCACTCATTCGTCCCGCAGTCTCGTCATAAAATCCAGCAGTAAGTGTGGCCGCTGCCACAATGCTAGCAGTTCTGTAACTACGCAACCTTTTCTCTACAGAAATGCCCCAGGCAGTAGAAAGTCCACTCAATCGTCCCGCAGTCTCGTCATGAAAGCCAGCAGTAAGTGTGGCCGCTGCACGATGCTAGCAGTTCTGTAACTACGCAACCTTTTCTCTACAGAAATGCCCCAGGCAGTACAAAGTCCACTCAATCGTCCCGCAGTCTCGTCATAAAAGCCAGCAGTAAGTGTGGCCGCTGCACGATGCTAACAGTTCTGTAACTACGCAACCTTTTCTCTACAGAAATGCCCCAGGCAGTACAAAGTCCACTCATTCGTCCCGCAGTCTCGTCATAAAAGCCAGCAGTAAGTGTGGCCGCTGCACGATGCTAGCAGTTCTGTAACTACGCAACCTTTTCTCTACAGAAATGCCCCGGGCAGTACAAAGTCCACTCATTCGTCCCGCAGTCTCGTCATAAAAGCCAGCAGTAAGTGTGGCCGCTGCCACAATGCTAGCAGTTCTGTAACTACGCAACCTTTTCTCTACAGAAATGCCCCAGGCAGTACAAAGTCCACTCATTCGTCCCGCAGTCTCGTCATAAAATCCAGCAGTAAGTGTGGCCGCTGCCACAATGCTAGCAGTTCTGTAACTACGCAACCTTTTCTCTACAGAAATGCCCCAGGCAGTAGAAAGTCCACTCAATCGTCCCGCAGTCTCGTCATGAAAGCCAGCAGTAAGTGTGGCCGCTGCACGATGCTAACAGTTCTGTAACTACGCAACCTTTTCTCTACAGAAATGCCCCAGGCAGTACAAAGTCCACTCAATCGTCCCGCAGTCTCGTCATAAAAGCCAGCAGTAAGTGTGGCCGCTGCACGATGCTAACAGTTCTGTAACTACGCAACCTTTTCTCTACAGAAATGCCCCAGGCAGTACAAAGTCCACTCATTCGTCCCGCAGTCTCGTCATAAAAGCCAGCAGTAAGTGTGGCCGCTGCACGATGCTAACAGTTCTGTAACTACGCAACCTTTTCTCTACAGAAATGCCCCAGGCAGTACAAAGTCCACTCAATCGTCCCGCAGTCTCGTCATAAAAGCCAGCAGTAAGTGTGGCCGCTGCACGATGCTAACAGTTCTGTAACTACGCAACCTTTTCTCTACAGAAATGCCCCAGGCAGTACAAAGTCCACTCATTCGTCCCGCAGTCTCGTCATAAAAGCCAGCAGTAAGTGTGGCCGCTGCACGATGCTAGCAGTTCTGTAACTACGCAACCTTTTCTCTACAGAAATGCCCCGGGCAGTACAAAGTCCACTCATTCGTCCCGCAGTCTCGTCATAAAAGCCAGCAGTAAGTGTGGCCGCTGCACAATGCTAGCAGTTCTGTAACTACGCAACCTTTTCTCTACAGAAATGCCCCAGGCAGTACAAAGTCCAATCATTCGTCCCGCAGTCTCGTCATAAAAGCCAGCAGTAAGTGTGGCCGCTGCACGATGCTAGCAGTTCTGTAACTACGCAACCTTTTCTCTACAGAAATGCCCCGGGCAGTACAAAGTCCACTCATTCGTCCCGCAGTCTCGTCATAAAAGCCAGCAGTAAGTGTGGCCGCTGCACAATGCTAGCAGTTCTGTAACTACGCAACCTTTTCTCTACAGAAATGCCCCAGGCAGTACAAAGTCCACTCATTCGTCCCGCAGTCTCGTCATAAAAGCCAGCAGTAAGTGTGGCCGCTGCACAATGCTAGCAGTTCTGTAACTACGCAACCTTTTCTCTACAAAAATGCCCCAGGCAGGACAAAGTCCACTCATTCGTCCCGCAGTCTCGTCATAAAAGCCAGCAGTAAGTGTGGCCGCTGCACGATGCTAGCAGTTGTGTAACTACGCAACCTTTTCTCTACAGAAATGCCCCAGGCAGTACAAAGTCCACTCAATCGTCCCGCAGTCTCGTCATGAAAGCCAGCAGTAAGTGTGGCCGCTGCACGATGCTAGCAGTCCTGTAACTACGCAACCTTTTCTCTACAGAAATGCCCCGGGCAGTACAAAGTCCACTCATTCGTCCCGCAGTCTCGTCATAAAAGCCAGCAGTAAGTGTGGCCGCTGCACGATGCTAGCAGTTGTGTAACTACGCAACCTTTTCTCTACAGAAATGCCCCAGGCAGTACAAAGTCCACTCAATCGTCCCGCAGTCTCGTCATAAAAGCCAGCAGTAAGTGTGGCCGCTGCACGATGCTAGCAGTCCTGTAACTACGCAACCTTTTCTCTACAGAAATGCCCCGGGCAGTACAAAGTCCACTCATTCGTCCCGCAGTCTCGTCATAAAAGCCAGCAGTAAGTGTGGCCGCTGCACGATGCTAGCAGTTCTGTAACTACGCAACCTTTTCTCTACAGAAATGCCCCGGGCAGTACAAAGTCCACTCAATCGTCCCGCAGTCTCGTCATAAAAGCCAGCAGTAAGTGTGGCCGCTGCACAATGCTAGCAGTTCTGTAACTACGCAACCTTTTCTCTACAGAAATGCCCCAGGCAGTACAAAGTCCACTCAATCGTCCCGCAGTCTCGTCATAAAAGCCAGCAGTAAGTGTGGCCGCTGCACGATGCTAGCAGTTCTGTAACTACGCAACCTTTTCTCTACAGAAATGCCCCGGGCAGTACAAAGTCCACTCATTCGTCCCGCAGTCTCGTCATAAAAGCCAGCAGTAAGTGTGGCCGCTGCACAATGCTAGCAGTTCTGTAACTACGCAACCTTTTCTCTACAGAAATGCCCCAGGCAGTACAAAGTCCACTCATTCGTCCCGCAGTCTCGTCATAAAAGCCAGCAGTAAGTGTGGCCGCTGCACGATACTAGCAGTTCTGTAACTACGCAACCTTTTCTCTACAGAAATGCCCCAGGCAGGACAAAGTCCACTCATTCGTCCCGCAGTCTCGTCATAAAAGCCAGCAGTAAGTGTGGCCGCTGCACGATGCTAGCAGTCCTGTAACTACGCAACCTTTTCTCTACAGAAATGCCCCAGGCAGTACAAAGTCCACTCAATCGTCCCGCAGTCTCGTCATGAAAGCCAGCAGTAAGTGTGGCCGCTGCACGATGCTAGCAGTCCTGTAACTACGCAACCTTTTCTCTACAGAAATGCCCCGGGCAGTACAAAGTCCACTCATTCGTCCCGCAGTCTCGTCATAAAAGCCAGCAGTAAGTGTGGCCGCTGCACGATGCTAGCAGTTCTGTAACTACGCAACCTTTTCTCTACAGAAATGCCCCGGGCAGTACAAAGTCCACTCATTCGTCCCGCAGTCTCGTCATAAAAGCCAGCAGTAAGTGTGGCCGCTGCACGATGCTAGCAGTTCTGTAACTACGCAACCTTTTCTCTACAGAAATGCCCCGGGCAGTACAAAGTCCACTCATTCGTCCCGCAGTCTCGTCATGAAAGCCAGCAGTAAGTGTGGCCGCTGCACGATGCTAGCAGTCCTGTAACTACGCAACCTTTTCTCTACAGAAATGCCCCGGGCAGTACAAAGTCCACTCATTCGTCCCGCAGTCTCGTCATAAAAGCCAGCAGTAAGTGTGGCCGCTGCACGATGCTAGCAGTCCTGTAACTACGCAACCTTTTCTCTACAGAAATGCCCCAGGCAGTACAAAGTCCACTCATTCGTCCCGCAGTCTCGTCATAAAAGCCAGCAGTAAGTGTGGCCGCTGCACGATGCTAGCAGTTCTGTAACTACGCAACCTTTTCTCTACAGAAATGCCCCGGGCAGTACAAAGTCCACTCATTCGTCCCGCAGTCTCGTCATAAAAGCCAGCAGTAAGTGTGGCCGCTGCACAATGCTAGCAGTTCTGTAACTACGCAACCTTTTCTCTACAGAAATGCCCCAGGCAGTACAAAGTCCACTCAATCGTCCCGCAGTCTCGTCATAAAAGCCAGCAGTAAGTGTGGCCACTGCACGATGCTAGCAGTTCTGTAACTACGCAACCTTTTCTCTACAGAAATGCCCCGGGCAGTACAAAGTCCACTCATTCGTCCCGCAGTCTCGTCATAAAAGCCAGCAGTAAGTGTGGCCGCTGCACAATGCTAGCAGTTCTGTAACTACGCAACCTTTTCTCTACAGAAATGCCCCAGGCAGTACAAAGTCCACTCATTCGTCCCGCAGTCTCGTCATAAAAGCCAGCAGTAAGTGTGGCCGCTGCACGATGCTAGCAGTTCTGTAACTACGCAACCTTTTCTCTACAGAAATGCCCCAGGCAGGACAAAGTCCACTCATTCGTCCCGCAGTCTCGTCATAAAAGCCAGCAGTAAGTGTAGCCGCTGCACGATGCTAGCAGTTGTGTAACTACGCAACCTTTTCTCTACAGAAATGCCCCAGGCAGTACAAAGTCCACTCAATCGTCCCGCAGTCTCGTCATGAAAGCCAGCAGTAAGTGTGGCCGCTGCACGATGCTAGCAGTCCTGTAACCACGCCACTTTTTCTCTGAAAAATGCCCCGGGCAGTAAGTTTGGCTGCAGCAAAGGGTGAACCAGCTTATAAAGAAGCAAGTTTGTTTTACAACACTTGCACCAGGTGAGCACTACCAGGAAAGAATGGCCAATCCTGAAACCAGAGACCTGCAGTAAGGATATGTGTTGCTTTGCAATCATTTTTAAGTAGAATTGAGACCTATTCCAACAGTTGTGTTTGGATTTCAGGACCACGAGAGATGCAAGCTTTGACGACTGATATCACCTGCCAGTGTGGATGTTAGAGGACAAGGAACACCAGCGAGCAAAGAAAAATATATCAGGAGGCCTCCATTTTTCAATATTTGTTAGCAAGGAGTGAGGCGTAACATTTATTTGAGAAAGTCTGGTCAGTATATTGTCTTCCGTGCAGCTACATTAGGGAAGTCAAGATAATCAGGACCCTATACTTACCAGTGGGCTACCATCTCACGCACTGTTCATAATGTGACCTCGACCGGAGTGTGACATTGACAACCAAGTAGAAGGACAGGGTCTGTCATTGCATGCAGGGAATTTTCAACATTGTCAAAGGAAAAATAGTAGGTTTACTGAAAGTGTAATGTATATTCAGTTGAAGCATACTAATGAACGTGTTCATGGCACGTTTCTTTTTTATAATTGAAGCATCTAATACCCTGGCGTTGATTTTCCATTTCATGTGCTGGCAAGCTGACAGGTTGAAGAGGAGTTACCACGATTACAGCACTGCTCGCCTGCGACTTTTTTAATAAATGGGGTTTTCAGCCAGGAGGTAGACTGGCAATGCTGAGTAAAGTTGTGCATAACTCGGATCACTCAGAGTTATTTTTAATGATATCCAAGCAGTACTGCCAGTCTACACCACGGTTTTCCCCCATCTGAATCATTCTCTTGTTTCACCTTTGTGCGATATCTCTCCTGTGTAGACCGGGAGGTGCACTGCACTCCAGATAGTTATAAATAAATGTTTGGAATAACTTTTATGTTTCACATGACTCATCAAGAGAAGGTGGAAGCAGATAGAATGTAACCTAAAAATTACCTGTAGGATCCGGTGCATCGGGCATAAAAAATGGATAGAGGGCATTTTCTGCCAATAAAGGAATGGTGAAATTATATTAAAAAAATTGCTTCATGATTGTGCCCTGCAAATAAGCAAGTAGGTCTCGATGTACACGGTTGTCCACTGTTGGGGTGCACACGGCACTGCGTGGCTGATGCTCGGTGGAGCGCCGCAGTTGGCTGCCTTGTGAATTGGGGCCGATTAGAGATAGCCATTGTCCAAGCCTTTGCTGCGTCGTCTGCTACATAAGCAACCGACGCGGCAATTACTTCGCTATGTGGCAAAGTAATTTTTTCTCGTGTGGGACACTTCCTGTGTGCCGGCTGGTTTACCTTTCTCAGAGGAACAAGTTGTGCAGAGCACTTGCAGATCAAAGTTTCTGAGTATCATGTGACACCAGGGATGTAAGAACAGTGCTTGCTTCGCCTCAGAACATGGTCGCTGTGCCGACACTGTAGCAGATGACGCGGGGGAGGCTTGGCCCCTGGCTCTCCCTGAGCCTGCGCACTAATTGGCCCTAACTCGCAAGGCGCTCACCTGCGGCGCTTCGCGGAGCGCTGGCCACGCAGAGTGGACGACCCTGTACACCACTCATGTTTGTATACCTCCCCAAAGAGAAACTCGCATGACAAAGACATGGTTAATGTGTCCAAAAAAGCAATCGCATTTTATTACCTTCACAACATACATGACGGATTCACATATCTTTAGTGCCTTTCAAAGATCACATGGCACTATTGACACTTTGTCAATCAACGAAGGAATCAATACTTCAACATTTCTAACATCGCCGACAATCTGTGCTATTCCATGAAGCAGAGCTGTAAAAATGCTAACGCTACAACAGTAATCACAACAAGAAAACTCGTAATATGCAGCAAAGCTAACCAAGGCTGCAGTAATGACCCAGGGCTCACCTCAACCATCACAATCTCCCTTTTCCCAGACACTGGCAACGCCACACAAAGGCAGGCATGGGTGGGTACTAACCCACGGATTCCTCTTTGTCTGGCCCCTATCCTCTGGCCTGTCCGGCATGGGTGACCCTGGCCGGCATAGCCCAAGAGGGTCATTGGGGCACACAAACCCCTCCACCACAGTAAGGTGGGAATCCGCTTGAGGAGGGGAGGGGGGGGGGTGCAGGCAAGTGAAAAAATATCTGCAATGTGGCTATAACTTGTCGTACATTGTTTTTACTGACTTCTGTCTTCGTTTATTTTATTGTTATGCTGTTGTGGTCCTGCTATGAAAGTTTGATAATAATTCTTCCTTGGTTTTCCTTCTGTTGCGAATAGATCACAGCCCTTCCCTTGGAAGTTTGCACCAAAGAGGAAAAACGAGCAGGGTTCCGGTTTATGTGGTCGGAAGGTGTGGACGCTCAATTCATAGACACTCCGTTGAGCGAGACACTGGTTCCCTGCTCGCTTTTCCTCTTTGGTGCAAACTTCCAAGGGAGGGGCCATGATCTATTTGCAGCAAAGAGAAAACAAATGAATTATGGTCAAACTTTCATAGCAGAACCACAACGGCATAACAATAAAATAAACGAAGACAGAAGTCAGTAAAAACAATGTACGAAATGTTATAGCCACATTGCAGATACGTTTTGACTTACCCTCATATGTTTGAGCCCCCAGAGTGGCTTTCAGTGACTGTGCCGAAAGCCAGAATACAAAGTGTCGGAAAACCGGCCCCTGATGGCCTTCACCACACAGGATGGCAGTGGTCGCCTGTTGTGCTGGCCAAGGCGCCGCCACAGCCACAGGACGCACTGCCGGTAGGCGGCGTAGCGGTTGCGCCTGAAAGAATAACCACAATAATTTTCTGTAAGACGCAATATCACAACCTTTTAAAATTGCAGATTCTGGGCTCTACCAGCAGAAACAAAAAAAAAGTGCTGCAACGGGCCCTCATGCCTGGGCAGCAACCGATCTAAAATAACCCGAAGAGCAAAGCAAGTTCTAGATTGTGTCCATTATTCTTTCCACAAATTCAATTGACAGGTGTGAACATTATATTAGGTTGATAATTGAATCGCAGTAGTGTATACTCCATGTACAAGAAAGTAGCAGCGGTTATGGGGCACAAGTGCAACCATTTTGCGTTGTAGTTCTGCATCGTGTAGTAATGGGCCATAAATCATCACAAAGAACTGTTAGAAAAAGTCAATTCCAACAGACCAGATGACCAAAGCCTAACATGCACAACAATATGCATGTCACAAACCCTAAAATATGCAGCAGCACTGTTCATGCTGACTCGATCGAACTACTGCATCTCTGTGTGGCAAAGAGATGCAGTAGTTCACGCCAAAGAGACGGGGCATTGCTTTTATCATAATTGCTTGCACGCTATCAATAACGTTTGGATAATTCAGAGAGGGACTTCAATGAAGCTGAGGGAAATTAGCTTTTTTGTTGTTTTTTATCTAGTGTTCAAAGTCTCGACGCACCATTTCGTCTGGAAGCTGCACCTGCCGGAGTGGAATCAAGGGGCAATGATCAAGGGGCACATTCCGCCGTGATCAGCTTTTTTAACGACACAATTGCAAGCCCGTCGCTGCTACCGAGGAGAAAATGGCCATATCAAAACTTCAAAGGCATCCCACGGGGGTCTCGAGTGGCGCAGCGGTCAGAGGCGAAACTTGAGCGCACTACTCCAATGGGTGTGAACGCTGCGTTCAGTAGTGTACCCTGAACGTCGCGTTTATGCATGTTGTGCCAACGTTTGTTGCAAAAGTTACGCCCGTTAGGTCCATAATGTGAACGTAATATTAGTGATAGGACGAATCACCGGAGATTTGGATTCGGACAGATTCATCAGATTCGTCGCTGGTTGCAGACGGCAGTGTGAAAATAGTCGTAAACTTTGCGAATGTGGACAGTTGGGCTTTTCTTAGGTACTGTTACTGCATATAACCAGATTTCGTCTTGCTTATTTCAACATATGGTATGTACTAAACTGTCGTTCTAAACCCTGGCAGGCGCCAAGGTCCAGCTGAGCTGATCGGTGTGGTTGACGTGGGCCTAACCAATGTACGGTTTCGTTTCCTGTGCGGTTTCGCGGTGATCGGTAAAATGTAGCAAAATGAGGTGTATTATACATAATGTGACGCAACGTACAAGAAATATATATTCAGGCAAGGAAATGATTTTTCTCCTTCTCTAGAGCTGCGTATGTCTGCACCTATAAGGCGCGAAAACTAGAATGTTGCTCGTCACAACTTCGACCTCGTACCGGCACCGGTGGCGAAGAAAAACGTTGCACTGTCGTTTCTCCGTTCTCGTCAGCAAGTTTTTTTATACGTGAACTTTATTTGACGAAAAAAAAAACACAACACAGGGGTGTCCAACACAACTTCATTGTTTGCAACCAAACACTAACTAAATCGGATAGCATTCACCAGGAGTTTCACATTGTTTCCCGTGTTTCGATAGCAATAGGCGGTATTCACTGAGCCTGCAGGTTCAATTTTGCCAGGGAGCGCCACCGTCGATTCGCCATCTTCGAGGTCGCGGTTTGACTGGCTTGGCTACGCGGTCGTACAATTTTATATCGTTGAAGGAGCTTTCGTTGAACAAGAAAGAAAGAGGTTTATCTCGGGGGCGGGCCGTTTTAGTTTTCTTGTTGTCGCCGAGTACCGCGTGTGTAAAGGCTGAACCGCATGTAAGCGAGCAATGAGACGAGACGAGCGACAGCCACGACTGAAGCGACGACGACCCGCTTCGCTGTCGCTCGGTCACTTGCGCGACGAGACAAGCCGCGTGAAAACGACGGGAGCAAGCGACCAAGGCGATCAGCGACGTTTTCTAGAAATCTAAAAACCGAGCGACAACCGACCGTGAGAAATCTCCGTCACTCGTCGCCGCTCGCTAAATCGCTTACATGCGGTTCACGCCTCACTGTCGCTCGTCGCGCAGCTCTGTTTTGGGACTTTTAGAAAACTTAGTGCTCATCGCCTTGGTCGTTTGCTCCCGTCGCTTTCATGCGGTTTGCCTCGCGGCAACGAAGCGGGTCACCGTCGCTTGTCTCGCCGCTCGCCAAATCGCTTACATGCGGTTTTTAAATCGCTAGGGCTAATGAAAAATGCGCCACATCTTTCATAAGCTGCGCACTCTGTGAGCCGCACGGTATGTCTTTGCACAGGAACGAACACCGAAGGCAGGACGTATGTACGACACAGAGGCGATGGAGCAACGCGGTTACACGGCCGTAGTGCAGCAAATCCGCTAGAGAAAAACAATAAAGAAACTAGCAAAACAAAACAGAGTAATCACACCGTGCTACAAAATCACCAAAGTAGAAAAATCAGTTCTTGCAAGAGCTACCGCCGTGGGCACGGCGCGCGACACGGAGCGCTTCATGGAGCCGAGGGGGCAACGCGGCCGCGGTGAACGAGTCCGATAGCGACAAAAACGAACTAAAACACACAAAAAATACTGCTACGGCGCTTCAAAAGCACCAAAGTATAAGAATAACCCCTAGTTTCGGTTAAAAAGGCTCTTTAAAGTTGTAAAATGCTGCTAAACCACGCTCAAAAGGTCCGGCCATACGACACCCGCGATAGAAAGAGACCTCGAAGATGGCGACCGTGGTGGGCGATGCCAGCGAACCTAGCGAGTGACGTCAAGTGAATGTCACCTATACCTCAGTGGAAACTCGTTGGAGATAATCGAATCGAACATACTCACTTGTGGGGTTGTGTGCCACTATGACAGTAATTATGGGCACGAAATGGGTCTGTACCGAAGAGCACGTACGGCATCAATCTCTTACAGCGATGAAAAAATGCGCTTGCATTTCTATGTGTGTGCACCAAGCATGCCTATAGACCCTTTCCGAAATTCAGCGCCATCTGGTGGCTGAAATGGCGGTTTAACTTTTGCCATACGAATGGCGGCAATGAACCCGTAGCCTGCGGTATTTTATCGGGCACCGTCACTTTTGCATGTCAACGGCAGACGAGAATAAACTTTTCGCTATACAGGTTTTTCTGAATCATCTCATCCAGTCTCGATTCCCACAACGATGCAACCAGCCAGAATGAAGCGCCAACCCAGACAGACGCCTGGATAAAGTTCTATAAGTCAAGGGGTTTCGAAGTCGATTTTGTGCCACAAACAGGTTCACTGGGCTCGAATTAGAGAAATGAACACTTATGCAGCGCTTGCATTCAATTCCGGTTTCGCAACGTGCTAACGTCTAGAATGTATAGGCCTCGAATCCTCAGCTTAGGAGTATCTTCAACCATGTTCCTTCATCAGTAAAATAGAAAGCCGCCATTTTTATGGCACATATGCCATTTTTCCGATGATGATGATAGTGATCAAAGTGGCCAGACTGAATTTCTGGAAGGGTCTATTGGGTCGTAATTTGGAACTGAAACCAATTTTTCCGTGATGTCTGGCTACCGTTCTCGAAAAACATCCAAAATAATTTAAACAAAGCGGAACATTTTATTTATTACTGTGATATTATATTACAATATATTTAGTGCACTTTGTAGAATTCAGTGAGTATAATATCACGAAAAGTTGAAACACTCATCAACGTGATTTGACAACCATGGCAACGCTCCGAATGTTTCCAAACTTTTCCGAATCGCTTGGGATTCGGCTACTTTTCCGAATCTTTCCGAACCTTCAGATTCGAATAAAGATCCGTCCCATCACTAGTGATAAGCTAAACTGGAGCTAACCAGATCTCACGAACTTGTTCTGAAGCAAGAGATACTGATGCAGCAATCGAGGTTTTGAACATTTTACTTTCTGATGACCCACAACTTCACAATGAAACACGGCACGAAACGCAAGTAAAACATGCGATGCAACCACTAATGTGACTTCACATTTGAAAAGTAACGTGCGTAACGCTCACTGAAAGAGATAGTAAAGTAGCTGTCTAACGTTTTACTGCTGGCGCCGGTTTGCAAGTTAGCCGAACAGCAAATTACGGCGTTGAACTCACTCGTGCGCTGTTGTGCCCATTCCGTCCTGGCGGTAGTGGCGCATCATGAGGTAGGCGACCTCGAGCACCCCCGGATTCAAGCACACCGTCTCGAAATCCGGGTTGCTTGTTAGGCAGCCAGGTTGCCTCGACGCGGCGGCGGGGTACTCGCGGCAGCAGACGCACTCGTCAGCTGTCGGCATCTGCGCGCAACATCCGCACTGGCACCTTTGAGAAAGAAGATAAGAAGAGAACAAGCGTAAATGACACATACAGCGGTAAAATAAACAGCGTATCACCCACCAGTCGGTGTTGCCGATCCGCCCCGTCTCGTCAAAGGCGCCGTCTTCGTCCTCGGACATGGCCGCCTGCTCGTCCTCAGAGCCCGAACACGACTCCGATGCGCTGCTGTCGTATACATCACACGTCGGAGTAGCGTCGTAGGAAATCATCCCCAGGTCGGCTGTCCGCCGAAGAATGTCAAGCTCCAACGGCGTCAGGTCCTCGAGCGTACAGAACTCCGCCATGATCGAAGCTCGAATGACAAAGAAGTTCGGCCGGTGCGGCTACCTCGGGATCGCTGCGCGACGGAACGTCGTTCAACGCCATTGGCCCGAGATCGTTTTGATATGCGTGCGATGACCAATGAGAGTGGTTTCGTTTTCGGGTGGATCCGAGGTTTGGCGGTCTTCATTTACATTTTTATTAAAAAAATAATCACCGTATGACTATATTTTTTGGTTTTTAGGGATACTTAGGGTGTCTTATTTCAGTTGTCATCATCAAAACACGAACTCAAAAACCGCTTGACTGCCCCTTTAAAGGGACACTGACAGGGCGTTTGTGTTTGTAAAGGTGTTTATGTGTACATGGGGGGGGGGGGGGGGGGGCGGCTATGAGAGCCTAACAACTCAGAGCACAATTTTCGGCTCGATATTCGTTTCCTTTCCTCCCGAAAACCGCCGATCGAGAACTGGCCGGTGTGAGTCGCGCTCACTCTCTTCTCCGTGGTCTCGTGCCGTTTTCTACAGTTTAGACACAAGCACTAAAGGTAATCAAAGTCGTGGATCATCGAAAGCACACACTAAATACTAGAAATTATAAAAAATATGACACCCATTTTTTGTGGCTTCTAAAAAAGTGCAAATACGTTCAGCAAAAAAAGAAAAAGAAGATTCACAGCCACGTAACTTCCGGTATCTCTCTCCTCCTCTCTACTGCTTCTTCCTCGCCAGTCCAATTTAGGCTTCGGAATCCAGCAATTGCGTTTCTTTCTTTTTTTTTTTACTTTATTAAAAATATACGTGACACTGTAGCAATATACTGATTGGGTAGTCTTCTGACATCATCAGAAATCCCCTGGCAAAAAAAAAAATGACCGCATCTCCACGTGGTGAATGATGTTGATTGGGGCGAAGCTCTGGTGGTGCTGGTGATCCTGATTTTGTTGTTCATAAATAGTGCTGATGGTGCTGATATTTTTTTTTTATTGCTCATAGGTAGTGCTGAGTTCCGGGTTACGTTTCGACTGCATTATTACTGCTTTATGGTCGGTGAAATGCAGAGCCAGGGCATCTCCACCGCTTAAGTCAACGGTCCATGTCAGAAAAAGAATGTGTGGTATGGAACGTGGTTATATACGCATTTGAGCATTTGACCGCAGCGCACTCTCGTTTATAAACGTTGAGCCAATGCATTCAAAGCTTAACGCGATTATATACGCATTTGACCGCAGCGCCCTCTCCTGTATGGACGTTGAGCGGCTACATGCAACGTTTCATCCATGACATCCCCAGCTCTTGAGTTACTACCACACTCGGCCACGACTCGTCCCGCAGTTGTGGCAGAGTGGTTAAGGCGATGGACTAGAAATCCACTGGGGTCTCCCCGCACAGGTTCGAATCCTGTCGACTGCGCAAACATTTTTTTCTTTTTTATGTGAGCACGGGCGGCAGGAAGGACGGACGGACGGACAAGGCTAGACCCTAAAAAGCTTCACCCCTAAAAGTAAAAAAAAAAAAAAAAAAAATATTGGGAGATGCTAGAGTCTTTTTTAAGGCTGGCTCACACGTTTGCGTCGACCGCGTTGTTGTTGTTGCTAGCGATGCAGCAGAAAGGAAATAGAAATATGAGCTATCGTGGGTGTTGCGCTGTGTTGCTTCGTGCAGTACATGTAGCGCCTCCCCAATGGCTCGTCGTAAGTGTCGCCCGAGCAACTAGAACGCAACTGTGGGAACAAGCTTTCACGGTTCATCGGCCATGAGGGCCTTTCTAAGCAGAACTCTCAGTGTGGGGATGTTCTTTTTAGCCATCCAAGCCAAATGTTCGCACGTTTAAAATTACCGCAGAATTATTCACACGTGTGTTGCATCGGTTTACGGAGGCCGTGAAAACGCAGTAAAAAGCGCATACACCAAGACGGGCCTACACTCTCAAATAATCCGGATTTCGTGAAGCTGGGGTCACGTGACGTCACAATGACGTCATATGACATGACGTCATGTGACCAGTACACCAATTCAGTTTTCCCGCTAAATTTAGCCGGAAAATTTACATCACGTAATCTACGCACCAATTCAGCTTCACCCTCTAAATTTAGCGGGGAAATCGACGTCACGGGACCTGATGTCATGTGACCTGTATGGCAATTCAGTTTCTCCTCTAAATTTAGCGGGAAAATTAACGTCACGGGACGTAGACACCGATTCAGTTTTTCCACTAACCTTAGCTTGGGAAATTGATGTCACGCGGCCGGATTTCACGTGACCTATACGCCAATTCAGCTTCCCTGCCAAATTTAGTGGGAAATTTACATTGGGGAGTTTTTGTAGACTGCGTTTCCTCTTCCGCTAAGCCCTCCACAACGAAGAAGCCGCTACTGCGACTGCGCGCCGATGGCATTGACTGTAGAGTTTCGGGTCTTGTAGCGGGTTGCGGACAGCGTTGTGAGACGGCGAAAACGATCTACGAAAACTCTCTATTACGTGTCACCGACTGCCTATCGGCGCAGCCACGAGGTGCAGCTGCTCCCAGCAGACAATTCGTAAGCAATTGTGTTGCATACGTGAAACTAAACGTAGACGTCAAGCTGCGCGGGTTAGACGAGCTGCTAAGTGACTTTTTGATGATACAACTGAAGAACAGCAACTCGAGCAGAGACTACAGGTGACGACCAGCGTCGAGAGCGAAGACGAGCAGCTGAGCGGGCCAGACGAGATGCTAAACGATCTTCCAGTACTAGAATACAAAATACAATACAAACTGATCGCAAAACGCTAGCGATGCAAAACGTTTCACGTATGCAAGACTATTGCCTTGAAATTTGTCATAATCTTTGTTGCCTCGCTAGCAGACGCGATCGGCGCTCTACTTTCGACACCGGACGGCGCTTGCAGAGCTGGGGACTGCGGAAATCGCGATGGCACGCCTTTATTTTTTTCGTCATGTGCGGTTTAAACACCGGTTTTGTTACGCCAGCGAAAACGGCGAAAATGTCTGCTAAACCGTAGTCCCCGCGAAATGCTTGCATACGTGTCGGCGTCCCAGTCAGTAAAATATGGCCGCGCGCTGAAACAACGAAAATCCTGGCCTGTACACTTTCTCACAAAGCACCAGGGAGAGCCGATTGATGTAAGCTGCGTTGGGAGCTTGGCGAGTAGCGTGTCTGATAATATGCACAAGTCTAAAATCAGGCTGAGCTGTGACAGTGAGTGAGTATCATGTTTCACGTGCTTATGACAAGCTCAGTACCACAAAGCAAGCTGTTATTTTAAGTGTAGACTCCAAAGCAACTTCCAGCGACGTCATTCACCGAGCTCCCTACGTAGATTTCAGTGATTAGCTCTCTCAGGTGCTTTGCGGAAAAGAAGACGCTACAGTTTTTTAAAAGTGTAGCAAAAAATACTTTTTTCCCCTCGCTTTATAATGAGGGACAGGAAAGTGTGTATGCAGGCAACACTACAAAATATAGGGTTCTTTTTTTTTTTCTTTTTTCTTTTTTGCTTGACAGTTTTGTTTTATGAAAAAGCCATAAAAGCAACTATAATGACATGTGCAGGTGAATACGGCAAGGTGGGACATAATATAGTGTGCTAATCGTCACGATTAGTCGGCTAATACACTAAAATATGTTCATTAACACTTTATTTAATAAAATTAAACACATGGTTTCAATTAGGAAGTTGCTGAGCGTCATCGGCAATGACTACATCAGTCAATTTTAGAAAGACACGACTCAGCGATACCGCATCTATCACGCTTCACAATTCAGGTTGGTCATTTGAAAAATGCAGAATGCAAACGCATTAATAACCGACTGTTTTTCTAAGTATCGGGCCCCATCGACAAATAGTGCATGTTAGAATGTTTTTTATAAGCTTCGGAGCGTACTTTCAGTTATTTACGATTGCTTCACTTCCGTTCCAGACGACACGTGCCTCCTTTTTTTGGGAAGGATTGCTACTACTCTCCGGAGGCGTTGAACTGAATCCAGGCCGTAATGAGAAACAGGAGAAAAAGCTTGAAAAGCTTGCTAAAACAAATGAACAGAATCAAAAGGAAACTTGGGGAAGGTTGGATGCCATCAGTTTAGGAATTGGCGAACTCAAACGCAGAGTTAAAAGCTTAAAAAAACAGATTCAATAAATAACACAAATTAAAGGAAAACTTGAAAGTAAACATCTTCGACAGAAATCTGTCTGGTTTGGGGAACAATTCGAAAAAAAGAAAACTCAAACCAAAAGTTTAGAAACAACAGTTCCCAACGTTTCGGGGTCGACTTGACTCCTTCTTCAGGGGTGACTAAAAATGGAATTGGACAGCGCGAGCTGTCCAATTCCATTTTTTTAGGCAAGGTTTCAATATTTCAAGGCTGAACTATGTTGTACAAGCGAAATAATGACTCCCTCGAATCTGGAATCGACGACGTAACAATCGGATGAGGAGAAATAACCTGATTTTCCGGGGTCTCCCAGAAAAACCGAGTGAAGCGTGGGACCAAACAGCGAGTACTATCAAGGAGTTCGTCAAAAGCTATTTGGGCTGGTCGGTCCGATAGAGCGTGCACATCGTGTAGGCAACAAACGTGGTGACGCAGTACGCCCTATTGTTGTACGCTTCTTAGATTACCGAAGTAGGCAGACTGTTCTGACGAAAGCATACGAACTAAAAGACGTAAACACACCACGTGTTTCGATATCGGAACGTGAAAGTCAAACTTGTTTAGAATAAGCTCTACGCGTAAGGCAAACAATACGCCTATTCACCACACAGTGACGATGTCATTTTATTGAGGCGATTTCATCCTGATAACAGCTAGAAACAATAGCACAAGGTAACGCGCAACCAAAAAAGGATAGATGTAGCATTAATTCTTGCTAACTTTGGTAGTCCTGTCTTTAAACAAGAGGGTGATGATACCAATGCCAAAATAATAATTGGCAGTGGAACATGGTTCATTCCCCAAGTGCTTAACAAGGA